TAAAGCAAAAATACTCAGGTAGGCTGTGGAGTTTAAACAACACTCAGCTGGTAGTAAGGGGCTAAGAGTATGCAGAGAAAATATTGCTCACACACCAGTAAAGATTCACCAGCCTGAATCACTGATAAAAGACAGGATGGATTCATGCTTTTATTGTTGTTTATACCAAATTCTGACATTAAATCCAAATGTCACAGCAGAAACTGACACTCATCAGACCGGAAATCATTTGTCTGTGTGAACTATAGCCTCTTTTTCCTGTTCTTAACTGACAGGAGGGGCACTCAGTGTGGTCTTCTGCTGCTGCAATCCGCGATTTGATTCTGCATAATTTGGTTATAACAAGTATTTGTGTGCATGTCAGCTTGAAGCAGTCTGAACATTCGTCTCTGACATCAACAAGGCATTTTTACCCAGAGAATTGCTTCTCGCTGAAGAATTTCTCATTTTTGGATCGTTCTCTATAAATCCTAGAGATGGTTTCATGGGAAAATGCAGTAGACGAGCAGTTTTGTCAAATACTCAGCCAAGCGTGTCTGGCATATCATGTTCAAAAACTCACATGAAACATGTTTCTTCTTCATTCTGATGCCGTTTGAACTTCAGCAGGTCGTCTTGACCATGTATACATGCCTAAATCCACCGAGTTACTGCCATGTGACTGGTTGATTAGATATTCGGGTTAACGTCCAGCTGAGCAGGTGAACCCAACAAAGTGGCTGGTGAATGTATTGTATACATTTTAGAATACCACATGGTGAGAAATGGAATCCATCTAAGTATAAAAACCTATTTATAAATTGTTTCCTCTCCGGGTTTGCATTCATGTCATATTGCACTTATACGAGTAGCTTATTGTGACTGACTTCTTCTCGGAGGCCTGTGTGTTCACATTTAAGGTGAGAAGTTTTCTATTTCACCGGAATCGAATCACTCTTCTGGTGTCAACCCTTCATCATTCAGCACAGTAACCAAACATCAACTACACCATTCTTTAGGAAACACTTGTACACAGCATGGGACAATCTGTAGTTACAAATATTGTAAACAAATAAAACAAACGTCAAAATGATTTTTTTAAAATGGCATTACACACATCTTTGAATAAATAGTTTATAACAAGAAGAATTTCAGTAAGTCAAACAGTATAACTCTTAAGTATTAATGCATCCCTTGTGCAGCGCATACATTTGAAAACTTCAGTGTGGCCTCATTCAGTCAGAGAGGGATATTATTATGGAATAAAGATGAAGGATTGCAGTGTCACATGCCACAGAGGAGATGTGTATTTTTTGAGTGATATTTACATAAATCTACAAACAAATTGGCACTGCGAGGTATGGTTGAGTGCTGTAAGCAGAAATGAAGACCATTTTCCAACAGTCCGAGTCACTTCTGATTCTTGTTTTCTTTTACAGCATTAGATTAGTGACAAAACTAAAGAAAAACTCCATAAAGACAAAAATGAAATATAGGAAACGCCACCAGGCTATATACAGTATGTGTACCGTACATCAAATAACAGTTAAGTACTCATTTAACCAAAAGCTGTGCTCTTTTTCAAAAGTCAGTCATAATAAGTTAACAGTGTAAAAGACATTAAGAGAATGAATGAGAACATTCAAGGTGCATATCTCACACCCCCAGGAATTTCATCATAATCGGAGGTTTGGCAATTCTGGGTCTAAACCAGAGGAAGGCCAAATACAATCAGAAGGAGAGGTGAGAAACAAATGAATTAATCAAGCCTGACCTGCTTATATATCAGATTTTCCTTTGAATTTAATGTGAGGTGACAGCTTACAAACACTATATGGTGCGTTTAGAGGTCATGGGGCCTCCCAGTGATGACTGGGAGAAAACTGAAACAAGAAGCTACTATACAAATTTAACATACCTGAAATCATCCATGTAGGAGTGACAGAAAAGAGCTAAAAGAAAAGAAAAAAAGGAAAAGTAGTTCAATTCTTTAAACAAGTAATGGTGCTAATAATGGTAACAATTTCTTGGACCTTGCAGAGAACTTCATTTTCTCTAATTCATCCAAGAAAAAGAAGCAATGAACCCACTGTGTGAAGGTACGGTATGTGTGAGAAACATTGTGATGGTAAAACTATAACAAAGGTTTGCCAAAGCACATGATAAGTATAAAAGTAAGTCATCAGCATATTGTAAAAGTTCGTAATCCTAACCCTTTCATACAATGATTCATACTATAACAAGTCTGAAACAAGGCTATCATGGCTGATAGAAGTATTTTCCTGTCGGTCATTGCTTTGTTGCCGTTATCATTGCATCATAATGAGCTTCTGCTTTTGCAGCTGCACTTCACTGCCAGATCCACTTTGTTAGCTTCAACTGAGGTTTTCTCAATATGTGTGAAACCCTTTCTTTAGGAGACACTGGTAAAGCACCAAGAGTGTCTAAAGAAGCAGAGAGAAGCAGTCAAATATAGGCTGAGGAAACTCGCGGCACGACAGTCAGAAATCACAGTGAGTTTCGTTCCGTTCACAGAACAGAGAGGTGAAATAATTACTCGTGACAGGGCTGCAATTAACTTCTAAATATTTATGCCCGACTCAGAAAAAGTCCTCAGTGATAAGGAAGAGTATCATTCGGAAATATCAAGAAATCCAAGCTGTCCTGGATGAGGACCTGAGGATTACCCTGTCCCACCTGGAGATGGAAGAGCGGGCTGCTGTCTCTGCCTTGGATGAGCTCATGGAGAGGAACTGTTCTCTGATCCAGGAGATAGAGCAGGACCTGGCTAGACTCACTCTGGCACTGGACCAAACGGACACAGAGCCTGATACAATGGTGAAAAAGTTGACAATAGCCAGATATAACTGGAAATGTTATGTGTTTCCTGTCTTAACAAAAATATAAATCTGATAAAATAAAAATAATCGAGATTATTTTTTACTTTTTTCCCCAGTCGTTCTTTTCATACCCTGAACAGGAAGACATGGAAACAGCAGACAGGTAGGGAAATTAATTATAATCTATCATAGAAATAAGCTTCATTATTGTATGTACCAACTTACTTACTTACTGTGTGCCTCCACTAGAGTGATTGATCTGCTAAACCAAACAGACCCAAGCAGTGTGAGCCTGGATGAAGCTAAAGCTGAGCAGATCATCAGCCTCACCAATAACATGCTCCTGCTTGTCTGCTCCCAGACCCCGATGATCAAGAAACTCATCAAGAGCTGTCAGTTTACATATTTTTATATTATTTATGATTACAATCAAACATTCAATTAAAACATTGTTAAATTCCAAAATGTAAAATATCTCCAGATTCCAGCGAGGTGTGCCTGGATCCGGAAACCGCCCACCCAAAGCTGATCATCTCTCCCCAAGGCGATAGTGCCACATATACGGACACCTGGCAGCAACTTCCTGACTTACCTGGACGCTTTGACACTACCCTCAATGTCATCAGTTTGCAGGGCTTCAGCTTTGGTCGCCATTACTGGGAAATCGATGTAACTGGGAAGACTTACTGGGAGCTCGGTGTCACCTACCCCAACATTCCTCGGAAGGGCACAACTGAGGACTGCTGGCTCGGCCGCGGGCCTGAGTCCTGGTGTGTGGAGTTTTTTGATGGCGAGTATACGGCCTGGCATGGAGGCGTTCCGCATCAGCTGCCTTTCACGAAGCGTTTCTGCCGGATTGGTGTTTTGTGTAGTTTTCCTGCAGGGCTGGTGATGTTTCTCGAGGCGGACAAAATGACACCCCTGTTTGCCTTCTGCACGGGAACCTTCTCAGACTGCCTCTACTTAGCTGTCTGCCCTGGTCATGACCACAATGGCAACAATGCAAAACCTATTGTTATCTGTAACCCTTCATCTGCCAACAGGGATCTCCGGTTTACTTCACAGAAGAGCTGTTGAACAGTTACTTTTTAAGCTGCTACTCCACAATAAGGCAAAAATATTAAAGCTGTAACTAACGACTTTTTAAAATAAAGAGATTATGAAGTTTGAAGCGACTCTGTGAGCTTTTGCAACATTCTGACAGTGTTAATGCTCAGGCTGTGTAATGCTTTCTGTGCTCACAATAATATTTCAGTGTGATGCTGTTACGGTTGTTACAGTTAAAGCTGTGGGAATCATGCATGTCCATCACTTAGACCTTGAGACTTTCAAATTAAAACCAGGGTGTTACTAAAGCAAGAGCATCATTCTTTGTGAAAGTCTAAGAAAATATATCAGGTACTAATCTGTTTAGTAACTGTTTGGGTATCGCATGAGGTTTTCATGTAGCAGGGAAAAGTCCTCAGCATTGCTAACACATTATGGATCAGCTGGATTTGCCAGCTATTTCAGCGAATTATGGTATTTATCCTGATATGAACCTATGTGTGGATCCAAAGTCTACATTCAAACAAACAGTCAGTCCTAAGCAAACATGCTCTCTGCACCTGGGCATGCTTGGCAGATTATCTTTTATTTCACTTAACATTTTTTGATGTGAGGAATTGGTTCAGGCTGGCAGACACAGTTATTATGCTCCATTAGACTAAAAAAAAGAAGATTTTTTGCCCTTAATAAACATTAAGACATTTTTTTAATGCAGCTGAAATGTATAAATTTTAAATGTTCATTTATTTAAACAATTAATCATTAAGAAAAATATGCTTGGTATAAACATGAATGTATACCAATCAAGTAAATTTATTTGACCACATTTCCTGAAATGTAATGTTTTACACTGTAATTATGTAACCAAAACTACATGGAAAACATTCATGTAGATATAGTAACTTGAAGTCAGCATTTGGGGGAAGATATCTTTTGATTTTAAATGTGTTTTTCACAAGCGATTGGTAAACTCAGCTGAATTTTTCCTATTATGTAGGACCATAAAGGTAACTATCTAAGAGCTCAGTTATAATCAATACAACTGACTCAGCAACACGGATGGATGCCAGACAAAAAAAACAAAAAAAGAAAAAAAAAAGACAGAAAGAAAGGGCTAACTCAAAGGTTAGTGTACTTACCAAATGTTTGGAAAAGTGCGAGGGCTCCCCCAGTCAGCTCACTCTCATGTTACTCTCCTACATGTCTTCTGGTCAACTGCCATCATGAACCTGAAACTCCTCTTCCTTTGTCTCTTCTTAGCGGTGCTCTTCATACCTGCTGAAGTATGTATTAACTGAATTTAATAATCACATGCATTGTATGTTATTTACATTGTGGCATTTTCTGTCAAAAAACACAATAGATCATGTTTCTGTTTAAAAAGGTTAAGTCAATAGCTTTAGCCACATATATAGCTAGATAGACAGATAGACATGAATATATAGCGTGATAGAGATAGTTATTTGGATGTGTACGTGCTCTTATGTTATGCTGTCATCTGCAATTCCTTAAAAAATGTAGTTGAAACATAAACACGACAAACATCGGGACTCTTCGCATCCTGGAAGACATGGCAGACATCCAGAGTCTTCAAGTCCTGAAAGACAAGACAGACATCGGGACTCTGCACGGCCTGAAAGACATGGGAAACATGAGAAAAAGAGACCAAAAGGAAGGTTTAAAGATATAATTGAGGGTTAGTACTCCTTTATGTTGCTTTTGTAACATATATAGAAAATGGTTTGAAATGTAGTATTTAAAGAATTAAAACTGTAAATCTAAAGGAAAGTATTGTTCTAGATGTCGTCTTTATTAAGGTCGTGGATGAGGATGATGAGGATGATGAAAATGGTCATTCAGACTGGCTTGATGAGTTTCTGGACCTAGACGGTAAGATACTAACAAACGTCTCGTGCAAATCTGTGGCATGTTTTCTTCTAATGCTACAGAGGAAAGGTTTAATTTTGACATTACAGTGTGTTGTCATTTTTTATTTCTCAGGCCAGTGCACCCCAAATCCTTGCCTTAACAATGGTGTGTGTAAGGAGAAAGGCAAGAGAAAGTTCAAATGTGACTGTCCCAAACCTTACAAGGGAAAAAAATGCGAGAGAGGTGTGAAGAAAAAAATCCCTTCTCTCCATTCTTTTGTCAAATTGCATATATATGTATGCAAAGTGTAAAAAAACAAACTGAATTAATGTTATTAAAAATATCCTAATGGTGTTATTCTCTAAGGTCCAAGAATTTGTAAAAGAGGTCAATGCGGGTATGGCGAATGTGTACTGACTTCAACTCCTCCGCACTATGAGTGCAAATGCAAGCGACCCTTTCAGCCTCCAGACTGCAAAACTAGTATGTTGATTTAAATATATATATTTTAAAAAGCCCAAATTCCTGTTTGGTGAGGATTTTAGCAGTTACTGAACAACAGCCTAAATTTTGTTTTATTGTTCTCCAAAGTTTCAGTTTGTAATCCTAATCCATGTAAAAATGGTGGCACATGCGTCAGAGATGAAAATGACTTTGACTGCCATTGCCCCGAAGGGTTCGGAGGACATTTCTGCCATGTTGGTAAATAATTCATTCTACAGTTTTTCTTCATATATATTTATCATAATTCATTTACTCACTGAGTAATTTACATTTCTCAGGTCCAAACGACTGCTATGTGGACGATGGAGAGTCATATCGTGGCAATGTGAGCGAGACGGATGATGGTGATGAGTGCCTCTACTGGAACTCCCACTTCATCCTGGCATCGGGTGTTAATCCCTTCACCTCCTTTGAGGACAAAGACGGCCTTGGCCCTCACAACTTCTGCAGGTCAGAAGTAACTCCATTTATACAATGTGCAGAAAACACCGATAAGAGGTCTGTCTCAGTGACGTTTTCTGATTCAGGAACCCTGACGGAGAGCCAAAGCCCTGGTGCTTTTTCAGAAGAGGCCACAGGTTACTATGGGACTACTGTGATGTGCCAAAATGTCCTGTATCGACACGTGAGTTTTAAAGTGATGGGCAACATTTTGATCTTGAGTGTTGCCAGCAAAACATCTGTGCCATCTTCTTGGATCTGTGTTTTCAGATGGGCCGCCGACTGAGGTTGCTCCTACACAGCCTAAACCACCGCAGCCAGAACCGACACAGCCTAAACCACCGCAGCCAGAACCGACACAGCCTGAACCGACACAGCCTAAACCGACACAGCCTAAACCACCGCAGCCAGAACCAACACAGCCTAAACCACCGCAGCCAGAACCGACACAGCCTGAACTACCGCAGCCAGAACCTACTGGTAAGCTGCCAGCAACTGCCATACCATCAACTGGGAAGCCCATCCGCCCTTCTGCGACACCTCTCCCTCCGACTACTGGACCAAAACAGTTTGCCACCTGTGGCATACCTCAGCCAAAAAAGGCTCTTACCCGAATCTTTGGGGGTCTGAAAGTCAGTCCAGGATCTATACCCTGGCAGGTTTCTGTGCAAGTGAAGCCAACGGGCTCCGCTCAGCCATTCAGACACGTCTGTGGAGGAATTCTCATCGCAAGTTGCTGGGTGCTGACAGCTGCACACTGCATGTAAGGCTGCAAGGTTGAAGAACCAGATTAATGGTAGATTACAAGTAAGACAATGAAATATTGACTGAACCCTTTTGTTTTTTATTTGCACAGTGAACCAAACAAGGACATGCAGGTGCTGGCTGGAAGTCTCTCAGTGAGTAAGCCAGACCCCGGAACTCAGACCATACCTGTCGAAAGGACTATTAAAAATCCAAACTACAGGGTGACCAATGAAGCTGTTTACAATGATATAGGTGATACTTGTCTCAAATGTCTCTGTCATTTTGTTCAGATGTTCTTTCTTTGAGTTTGTTGTGACATTTATATCTCACATGTATTCCTAAAGGCTTGTTGAAGCTGAGTGGGACTCCTGGTTTTTGTGCCAATGAGACCCAGTTTGTGAAAACAGCCTGTCTACCAAATGCGCCACTGCCTGATGGGACGGAGTGCAAAATCTCTGGATGGGGTGCTACTGAGCAATGTATGTAAGGTTACAAAAAGGTTGCCATTTTTCATGTACATAATTTGGCTTATTTGATAAACACTTGACATTTTCTATTTTAAATGAAGCTTGAACTCTTTTCCAACATTTGATGACCTCTCCTTAATGACAAGTTTTGACACCTCAATATATCAATGCAGATGTGGTCAGACGACCATTACAACGGGTTCTGGGTTTTTCCAGTGGTATCCGAAGCTAGCTTTACAGGCAGAGATCACCTTCAGTAACTTTTGATGAACATTCACTCATTTTGTTCTGGAAGTGGGCATGAAATATGAAAAAAAGAAACAAGGGTTACCCCCTAATATATTTCTGCATTACCTTTGCAGCTGATTATGGTTCCAGCCACCTGCTGGAGGCCAATGTCCTGCTGATCAACCAGGAAAAGTGCTCTGATCGTTCTGTTTATGGGAACATGCTGGACAATTCCATGTTCTGTGCTGGCTACCTGGAGGGAGGGGTGGATTCCTGCCAGGTTAGGACATTTGATGGTTTGATGCTGTTATAACGTGTATATTACTAACGCATCTACAGAAAGTTATTACATTAGTTCCAGTAGTAGCATATAGTCAGCTGTACAATTTTGTTTCAGGGGGACTCTGGAGGACCATTGACGTGCATGCAGAACAACGCTAATGTTGTTTATGGAGTGGTGAGTTGGGGAGACCAGTGTGGGAAGAAGAACAAGCCTGGGGTCTACACACGGGTCACTCATTTCCTGGACTGGATCAAGGCAAATACTGAAGGAGCAATTCCTTGAGCAACCTTTGTTTCTCACTAATATGCCCGCCAGATCTCCAACCACTACACACTGTACGCTTTTCCTAAAATGTAATCAAATTATATGATTATTCAAACTATTCATAAATGTACTGGATATTAGCTGGATTGTCTTATCAGTTACACATAAAAGATGGAAAAATCTGAAATCCGCTGTTATAACATAAATGATGCATGCATGGAAAAAACCCAAAGGCTTGAATTACTTTTTTAATTAAGCACAGTGTGTTTGAGTGGCTGTATATGTGTGAAACAAAGAATGGAAAAGAAAATCTCACAATATAAGTAGCTATACCATGTTTCCTCTGGAAAATGGGGCAAGTTGCATCACTGAACTGAAAATGTCCTAAAGTTGTGGCAGAATTATTACATGATGCAAATAAATGCTTCTTCTTTCTGATGTGCTGTGTTGTTCCTGTATGTCCTCACCAAGCCCTAGGGTGGCTGAACTTTCAAAACCCTGTGATGGGTGCATAATGTTATTGTTTACAAAAAAAGAGAGAGTTATATTTTCTAATTGTGTTGAATGTGAACTTTCAGACTTCTTCTTCTTCTGCAGAAAGGTATTTATTTATTTACAATGAGCAAAAGCGTGATGCACAAAGAATTGTGTAAATCAGATTGTTAAGTGTCTTAATCTTTTCTAGACATATAGCGTTACTGTTCGTGTTATTTGACCTCAGTGTATTGTCTGCTGCAGGGCAACAACTCTGTAGGGCCATTGACATGTGAGACTAAAGGCATGCATGTCCTCCATGGTCTGATGAGCAGTTTACACACGGGTCATTTACTTTATGAACTGCATCAAGGCACACATGAGAGCTGCTAAGCTGCAGAAAGAGATCGACTTTGCCACAGAGCAAATGCACTGTTTGAACCTGATACCACTTAATGAAATATTTAGCGTACATGTCAACTGCAGAAACGGCAATGCTGCAATGATTACATAACTTTAGTCTTGACATTATAAAGTCACGGATATGTCTGCAGATGTGTCTTCTCATATATTATTATATAACCTAATTTTAGCAAGACGTTAGAGGTAGGTATATTCGTTAAAAGCCGTTGTAGCTTTACCAGAGTCAAAGCCAATCACGGAAACTTGGTGGTAGTCAATATTTTTGACAACCTAGATTTGTACAGCACGCTGGACATTTTCACAATGTAATTTTATGTGAGCACAAATGGAAAATTACACTTAAAATAATTATTTGATCAGTGACTCTGCATCCCACAGAGGCAGTTAAATGGTTCCTGTGAGTTCACTTTTCTCCTCACGTGTATGCCAATCCCAGGGGTCCTTTATCCAAAACAAGGTAAGAGGCTGTGTGTTGACTCCGTTCATATCAATGCATGGGTTAAAAATGGGATAGAGAGGTTCTGTGCACTGCACACAGAAGGAGTGAAGCAGCCTCATAGCGTCGGCATCATAGAATGACAGCTCCCCCTTCTGGAGGTTTGCAAGTATGCCTAGCTTTCTGACTCTCTTTCCAACTGACAGCTGCTTTTCCTGAGTATCATGGCACGCCAGGTACTGTCCGTCTCCATGGTAGATGCACCAAGATGTGTTATTTACACCCAGACTGGAAGAACTCTGGCTTAAACTGGCTTTTTTATCGACTGACCCCGTGGTCACACCTATCATCCAGAAGGGCTTGTCTTGGACAATGACTTCCCAGTAATGCTGGCCACCTGTAAAACTCTCCTGAGCAAGGACGCTATACTGTGAGTCATATGGCTGAGGGCTCTGTCCTTCACCGAAAGGTTGGCGTCTCCAGTACACTTGTTTTCTGTCTTGGGATAACTCCAGCTTTGGATGAGCTGTTTTGAAGTCTAGAAGAGGAGAACTTAAGTCTGCAAATACAAATATTTACTTAGTACACAGTTATAATGATAATGAGAGTTGGATTTAGAATGTCAAAGGAAAAAAGCTTTACTAACATGACCACATTCGTGGAAAATGTTGGGACAAAGCGACCGAGAGTTCATCCACCAGCCTCTCTACTGTTCTCAGCTTCTCAGGGTCACAGAGGTCTCTGTTTACTTCTCGGATTGGAGCAAATTCCAAGGGATCACTGCAAATAAAAATAAAAATCATACCACAGGAAGGCTCAGTGAATAATTATATGGAGCAGCGTAAAGCATGGGCAATTTCAGGTTACAAACTGGACTCAGCAATATACTCACCAAAGATTCTGTGATGTGATTTGCTGTTTGAAAACAACAGGAAACATTTGAGCTATATTTGTGCTACACTTCTGGTCACGGTAAGTGATCATGTAAACCCTACCTGCAGAAACCGCAGATCATTGGTTTCCTGGAGAAGTGATTTGCTGGAGGCTCTGAATGCATCTATCTCTTTGATCTGAGCCTCTACAATGCTCCTCTGGGCCTCCAGCCACTCTGTCATGCATGTCTCCTCTGCGTCTATAATCTGCATCATTAGACGCTCATCGCCATTCAGCACGACGTGGATTCTGCTGTACTTGTCTGAGATTCTCTCTCTAAACTCTGCAGCAGAGGTCTATGAGATAAATGCATTGTTAGACAAACAAGAATGGCTTCCATCAATTTAAAAAGTTAAGCAATTTAAGAGTGTGATTTCTGTATTGGTTGTACCACTGTTTGTGTATACAGTGACTCCAGGTCTTTGATGGCATGTTCAGCTTCACTTCTCCTCTTTAGTAGCTGGTTCATTGTGGTCTCAAGCATACTCTAGAGACAGAAATACAACATGCCTCTGGTAAAACAACCAACCAAACAAACAAAAAACAACAGGAAGAAAATAGATAAATATTCCTCACAAGTAATGAAAAGAGATTATAATAATCACCTTAAAGTCTGCTTTGGCTTCATGCAGTTGAGAGGCTTTGTGATGTTTGTGCGTGCCAACCAGGACACACAAACAGCACACAGGTACCTTTTCCTCCATACAGAAGAGCTTAAGCTCATCGCGGTGCTCCCTGCACTTCAGAGACAGTGGATCGCTGGTCACCTCCACCACTGTGTGCTCCCTTAGAGCAGACCTCTGTTGGTGGAGCAGGGCGTGAGCCTGGCACAGCGAGGCATCGCAAGTCAGGCATGTTCTTATGGCTACTGATGGCATCTCTATGCAGTGGTCACAGCAAATAGTTGATGATGATTTAGTTTCACTAGTTGAAGCTGCTGCTTGTCGCTCTGCTGCTGACAGCGTCTTAGTGGTGAAGTCCTTTACTTTGGTCTGAAGGTCTGCATTTATCTTCAGAGTGAGGTCAGAGGGGAGAAATATCTGACACTCCGGGCAGAAGAAAGGCCCCTCATCAGACACATCGGTTTCCCAGACAGCCTGTATACAGGTGAGGCAGAAGTCATGCCCGCACTGCAGCGTCACAGGATCAATGAAGAAATCCTGGCACACAGGACACTTCAAAGTTTCCTCCATGGTCCCCATAGCTCTGTGTACAGGTGTTATGGTGGCTCAGTGTGCACTGTGCTTCTGACTGTCCTGCTCATTAATGTTTCACAGGTCTGTCCTGGCATGCACAAACGCCACTCACGTGGCTTTAGTGTCACATTACTGAAGACTGTTTGTTTTGGTTTTTTGCTTCACTAGCAGGTTCAAATGGTTGACACACAAATTAATGGCACAGTTTCAAAGAAATTGATTAAAATACAAGTCAACAGTCCAAAATGCAGGGTCATTTAATAAAAAAATGACAGGAAAATGGAATCAATTTAGTGTGAAATTTCTTTCGTTTGAGCACAGGTGTGTGATAAAGTAATCTCAACTTGAGATCTCATAGGACGCTTGCTCTTCCGGGTGTAAAAAGAGCCAGGAAGTCACGTGAGTACTTAAGCGAAGCTTGTTTTATTTTGTAAAGATATAATTTCGAAAACTTGAAAAAAGCGATATTAGTTGTTTACAGTCACGCTTGTTGTTGTCAGAATTACATTACAAAATATTTCCCATTTAAAAAATATGTTATTGCGATGTTATATTGCCCCTAGAAGAAACGACATTACTTTTTAAAATATGCCTATCACTTGTAATTATAAATAACAATAATAGCATAATACATATTGCAAAAGTCTGCATTCTCTGTGATATAGACGGTGCATGCTGATAAAACTGTTCTGCACTATTTGCACAACCCAATCTTCGTTTCAGCGTTAAGTGTGTAGTACTGTCACTCGACGTCTCTGTACTTGTGCAACCCGTGCTCACTCACAATAAAATAAAATAAAATTCATGCGTACGTTAAAACTTTCTTGCGTAAGCCAACGTCTTATGTCGTCGTCGTCGTCCCCCCCCCGATATTTTATGTGCACGTCGTTCGTGAATAGCATTACGGCACTTCCCACACAACGTGGGCTGTGGATGTGGCAGTGAAGCGCTGCGATTCTCACTGAATACGTGTCTTCATTTCGCCGTTCACTTACAAGTGTAGCTGTGGTTGGCTTTCCAGGTCTCCATCTCGCTGGGTAAGGAGTCTTTTATAAAAAATCTCTTCCGCCTGTTCTGTCGAAAACCGAGGCAAGTTAGGCAGCTCACAACAGCTAAAGCTAGCTAACGTTAGCTAACCTAGGTATGTTTTGACAGAAGTACTCGACACGTAGCTGCTATAGTCTGATAAACTACCATGCAAACTGCAGTTCGTTCATATGTATTACAGGTTAAACAAGTGAAAAGCGCCCAGTCTATTGCCCTGCCTATTATTGCTGGTATTTTTCTAAGCTAACTTGGTGCAAAACAATCTTTAATGGGTCAGTGTGTCAAGTCCAAATATCGCATAACACTGATAAGAAGAAGACACATGATGCAGAGCTTTCAAGCGACAGCAAAACTCCACATATCTATTTAAAACGTTGGCGTCAAGCCTGTTTGTTTTACCCAGAAGCTGCTTATTTAATTTGATGCTATTCCATTGTTAAACTAACCATGCATTGCTTTCTGTGCTCATCACAGTGGTCCTGAATTTTCAGTGCCATGTTTGCCAGGTTGGCTTCCTGCTCTCCTCTGCCATTCAGAACACGGCAATCAAATGTGTGCCCAGTCTACATCAGAGCCTTTTCCCAGGCTAAATGTAAGTGATCAGCCAAGTGCTTCATCATACTAGGCTTGTACACAAATCTCAGGATCACTTCGATATGTGTTGGTTCTTCCTCGGCTGCCTATGCCTGTTAAAATGTGACTGTTTTCTTTATTCCCCGCAGTCGTTCTCCCTCGACCCCATGGGAAGTCCTTTGCACACCGCAGTGAGCTGAAGCAAGCCAAACGCATTGTAGTGAAGCTTGGGAGCGCTGTGGTGACGCGTGGAGATGAATGTGGTCTGGCACTGGGACGACTGGCTTCAATAGTAGAGCAGGTAATAATGTTGATACAAAGTGTCTTTTATAGAGGAATGACTGCTCCAAAGAAAA